CAATACTCATACAATGAAAAATACTACCTGTACTACATATGTGCAGTAATTGTATTGTAAGTAGCAAAACAATCTGTGCACACCTGTATTAGAAAAAGCAAATACTTAACTGTGTGCTGCAAGTTTAATATTTTAGTTCATGGTAAATAAAATGAAATGAACAAACAGTATCAAAAGAAATATTCAACATATTCATCCATAATTCATATTTAATATACATCACACAAAGTAAAATGTAAATCATTGCCATATATTAAATATTTGATTAAAATCTCGAGCAGGAGTATAGAACAATATTGGTTGTCATGGAAACACTTGCACTGCATTGGACTTTGACAGCTCTACTAACCATGAATGCGTGCAGTTATAGGGACTTCAGAATGTACAGGATTTTTTGTTTTAAAATGAACTGAGAGCTTCAAAAGTTGATCCCTGTCTATTGTAACTTCAGTTATAATAAGCTGTACACGTACTCATTCACCCCAGCCCCACCCTACCCCAATTATGAAAATGTAACATTGAAATGGTTAGCTCTACACACAATGTCTTGACACCAAATACCGGTACACATCAAAGGTAGGAACCATTGCATCAAATAGTTTAATTCTTGTCACCATTCTTGTGCTATGTTAAGGTCCAACAACTTGCGCAAAACCATGCTTGATGATTATGCTACTTTACAATTAACTTATTTAACACTCAAGACAATTCCAATTTGAGACAAACAGATTTAATTCACAAGCTAAACGTATCGGCGATATTTTTTACTTTTCACTTTCAATCATTAGCAACTCATCCAAACAATTATGAGCAAAGCTGGGTACAAATCTCTTAAAAAGTGGTTCTTGTGTCAGCAGGGGTCATCAGATATTTTCAGCTAAACAGCATACAACAGCACAGGCAGGTATTTTAATGCATCTTTGCATAGTCTAAGAGAGTGGATAACTACTAGTGTCTAATGACTTGTTTACTGTGGTATGTCTTGCTGCATCAATGCACTCCCCATGGGAATATGAATAACACAGCAATAACACTAACTATGTTACAGCCATATAGTTGACTGCTCTGTGCTCACTGAATATACAATTATCACTAATATACATTTTCACAAGGTACGATACCCACAGGCTTATAACTTGAGTAGATTTTCTCGCGTATTATTCTTTCTGGTCACTGCGTGAATCAGTTAACATACGTACACATCGCAGCTTTGTTTTTTAAAAATAACCTCTCATCTTCAATCAAAATGAAATGAATTCTGTGTTTTTCATTAACACTATTTTCTTTGGGGGGGGGGGTATGCTAATTAGTGAACGTGGTGAATGACTAATTAGCTGAAACAAACTTAGATATCATTTCACATATCTGTAGTTAACAAAAACATAAAAAGACAGCTCATTTGGAAAAATATAAAACAAATAAAATAAAAATTTCTGCCTACCTACTGAATATTTTTGAAAACACCAAATCTGTTTGGCCTAATTTGGCAAAATTTTTTTTAAATAAAATAAAAATAGACGATGATTTGATAGGGCCACACTGACTTAATTTTATGGATGACATCTGTGCGTGCATTAGTTTTCGCCTGTTCTCAAAAAAAAAAAAAACTCCAACGAGGAGTCTCCACAGATAGGTTTTCTGTCCAGAACTTGCCGACTTGGCTAGTTGTAAAACTCGTTTTGGACTACCTCAAAAAGTGCCAATTTTGTCGTAAATGAACTTCTGCACATGCACATTGCGTTGTCGGCAATTCCAACAATTCCACACAACAAAAATACGTGAGGATTAAAGTTCAGAGGAAAAACAGAGGGGTTGTTGTAGACTGGTACGCAATTGACATTGGCCAGAGAATGTCATCCATAAAATTAAATCAGTGTGGCCTAGATACAAAATATAGCATTTAAATTTTTGTTATTCTCATTGACATGGTCAATTCAAAGGGAGAGAAATTATAAGTGGTCTTTGTATATAGCCAAGTTACCATGAAAGTAACCCAACTTTTGTAGTAACTCAGTTTTGCCTATTTATACATTCCCAAAACATTTTATTTTATTGAGAAAACAACAACAAATAAACATGGGACTGTAAGTCTAATATGGAATACTTGATAAGATTAAGAATTAAAAGTGTAGAACAATGACCACTATAAACACATTTATATTAAGTATACATAAAAGATCAGAAAGATTGCCAATTATAAAATATATATATACTGTAATAGTGGAGGCTTCATAGACAAATTGAATTTCCAACATTTTCCAACAATTTCGTGTTTCATAATAAAATAATGGTAAATTTAGATTCTAAAATACAGAATAAGACATTGTGGATATAAAACTTTATCAGCTTAGGCAACCAGTTAATCTGCACTTACAGACATGAGAAACAGTACAGTAAAAAACTCACAAATATATATTGTAACACCAATCAATGTTTAATACACAAACTGAATGAATTATTCTTTATTTAATTAATTTATCCTAACATTTTTTACCTTATCGTTGAAACTAATGAAAAGGCTGAATGGAAAATGTCTATATACAGCTATTTCATTCAGACATCACACACATATGGGGAAGTGTATTTCCTCCTACTTCATTTTAATATTTCCTTTTCAAACTTTAAACTATAAGGCATTGTCCTTGTTAACTATATCCACACAGCTACATTTAAATTTAAAATTAAGAATGAGAACAAAATAAATAATGGGCATTTTACCACTTTCAACACACGGTACTGTACCATGCTAAATATACAATCTCTATTTAGGGCACACAAAATAAAAGCAGTTTGTGGTGTCAGATTAAAGAGTTTGTACTACAAATTTTTTAATTTTTGTCAAAAAAACTTTAAAATAAATAAATTACATCAGCCACCAGAAACAAATCTGTCTTGGCCATAAAATATGTAGTGTATTAGTTTATTTTCTGAAAACACAAAGTTCAATTAAGCAGTTTTTGTAATGGAAACTAAAAATCATTATTTTTAAACAAAGGTAATGTGCCTCTCACCCATGCTAATCAAAACAGGAAGTGACAAATTCTTTCATGAAAACTAACTGTAAACACAACTGGTGCAGATATTTACAAATTTGTTGTTTTTTCAACACATACCAACTCCAATTACAGCATGCATAGGGGAGTCCATCACAATTGTCATATATTTTCAAGCAAATTATATTTTTCCTGTATAATCTTTGCTAGTTAAAAGGGAAGGGGAGGGGGTAGGGGGAGGGGGAGGGGGGGAGGGAATGGGAAGTGCAATAACTTTTGATCAAATTACTGTATCTATTTTTCTAGCTAAATTAAATAAATAAACTAAGTACTACAGATTAACTATAATCTACTTTAATAGCTATTTAAATCAGAGTAATTTGCATATTGCTGTAACAGTTTTTATTTTAATTTGTCTGAATTTTGGTGAACAGAAAACTCCTTAAAAAACAGCTGCCAGAATGTTTCCTGTCAAATCAATTCAATTAGAATATCTATTTGTTGAATTGCTGGCATCAGCTCTTCAATGACCTAGTTAAGAAATACATCCAATTCAACTAACATTAAGAGAATGATTTAGTGCGAGTGGAAGTTAATTGTCTAATATATGGAGACAAAAACTATTAAATTCATAATTATTAGTATCAAAATGATAGTAAATTAAACTGTCTGTCAAGATGACTAGTAGGAAATCATTCTAGGAATTTACATTCATACTGTAATGTATTAATAGAAGGGAAACTGTTAAATGACTTGACAATGAATTCAAAATTCAGTCAGCCAAGTAAGAGTATCAGATAGGACTACACCATTTCCTGTCTTCCTATACCCTTATATGAATGAGTCAATAATATAAGTTATGCTTTTTCATCAGTCAACAAACTATCGACCAAAAATCAAAAGCTACAATTTTATGATAGCGCATTTGTTAATTAAATATCAAATAAACTTGCACATAAAGTTATGTCATACCACAGACAAACATTGTAATTAATTTAAATTATTATTAATACGCTCTCGTCTGTCTAAATAATTTTGTCGTTGTTTTGCATTGTGGGAAATACTTTTTATGTTCAATATAAATTACAACAAGTTGGCATGAACCATCCACGATGGGTACACAACACGTGTTCATGCAGACTTCAGTGTCATTTACTCGTTATGAAAAATGTTTACTGAAGCCACACGCGATCTTTGGATCAGTGATGGAAATAGCTCAATGAATTGAAGCCCTCCCTGAATTCGGTTTAAGATTCTTACTTTTTGTTTTATTTTGGCTGAATGCCTTAAAATACAGCTTAAGTGGTTATAGTGATAGTCTACTTTTCTCCCGTCGAATTCTTGTTTTGTAGAGTAAACAAGTTTGGGGTATTTATTTTGAAATGCAACAAAGTTCATTGCGGCCCAGGCCGTACTGGGAGTTCCGAGTCGGCTGAGGAAACTGCAAAGGGGTGTAGATTTCACCAATAAACCTCCACGGCACTTTCGACAACAATTTGAGTCGAACGACTCTGAAATTTGACCGATCTCATGAACCGGTTCTTTTTAACCGAACTGTGAAAAGACTATAACACGGTCATTACAAACACGGCTCCGTTTTCGACGTGAATACAATTTGAAATCTTGCCAAAAAACTTGCCCGCAAATGCAAACAAGTGACGAGAGCTGTAACATGACAGCGGTGTGGTGTAAGCAAGTTTAGACCATAGAACTAAAAACATAAATGCTCAGTTTTACGGTTCACGACTCGAACATCTCCAAGCAATCGAGCAAAACTGTTCTCCAATACATTAAGCCTCAAATATCCGCGGATTAGTACAGATTTGAGTGGCCAAGTTTTGTCTCATTTACAGAAACCACGTTGGGAATATTTCCCGTGTGACACCCTGAAGTTCGAAACCAGCGAGTGCCAGTTTGGTGATAGTGGTGGTTCTGAACTAAACTTAACTAATTACTAATCGGGGATAATTTATACAGAGCCAGACGTTATAATGAATCACTACTTACCCGAAATCAAGCCGATAATGAGTAAAGTGCCGGCCAAGGGCTGCATCGTGAGGAATCCGCGCAATTCATAGGTACATCCAGAGGAAATTCCAGTACGAAAACACGGGCCGCTTGCACCGAGTATAAAAATCACAGTGGGCAATACTTAGTGAGCGTATCGTGCTATTGTTTAGTGGAATGTCCTATTAGTATTACAGGGGAAGCAATGCAACATACCCCTCTGCGGTAAATACAGCCAGCGTGACTAACCATCCAAATTAGTGAAACGAATACATATTAATTAATATTTATGAATAGTGAAATACGAAAACCATTGTCTAGTTGTTATTTTCGGAAGTCGCTATATTTGAACTATCAACAACACCCCCTCAGTATACAATAGTTGGGTCAAGAGGAATGTCAGCTTGTGAGATCCTTTTCAATCATGCAAATTAATTAACTATACCTTGAGGCAATGGGAAGCACTAGGGCTTTTACATTTTACAACGTACTTGAGAGATGCATGTGGTGAACGGCAAGGTTATTAGTAAATGAATGGATCAAGGCATCTCAATTGGCGCCATTGCAGCACCCTAATCCATCATAACGGCGTCGTCCCAACTGACAGGTCAACTGGCGCACTATACCGGAGGATACACGTGTGTCGTCCCATAAATTTCGCCGTGACATACGAGAAAACACGAAAACAAATTACAACTTGACTTTTACCTATACAATGATACTTTGCATTATATATAGTTCATGGCAAGTTAATAGCTGTGTATAGATAAAGCACATAGCCCCGCCCAAACACCACTAATGGCACAATACTGATTTTACAGGCAAGAGTAAAAGAAAACACAAATCGTCACAGGACGATGTCACCAATAATGACGATTTTCTCTTGGTCAGCATCAACAGTGCATATTGGATGAAATCATCAACGTGGTCAAGAACATACAATGCTAAGCTGCATCCACGGACTTTGTAGATCTAGGAATGAACCACTGTACATACGCGAAGAAAGCGTTAAAGGGCGGTAGTCATCACGCAGTGCGTGTTCGAATTTCATGTAAACAAACATTGTTACACGCGTTGTGTACGACGCTATGTGCCCTCACAGGTCTCATACAGGACGCGGTGCGACGACCACCACCCTCCCCCACCGTCTTTTAATACACATCAAAATCATGGTTGAAGACGGAATAAACACGTGTCCTAATTTGTAAAATGTTTTTATATTACTTGTATAAAACAATCCTTCTGACATGCAGTATAAAATACTAACAAAAACAATAGTGAAAAGTGATAGAGAACCATCGATTGTGGACAGCTTTTACGCCGGAGAAATTAAATTCAATAATCTCTTCGGAGATATTTTATTGAAAAGCGAAAAATTCCCACCTGCCTATGGTAATTCAGAAATGGACGACTGAACAAATTGCCGACAGTGAGTGCCAGTGATTACTTTCTTGCTCCGTATGTTTTTGTTTCCGTCGTTGTAAATATCATTATTTCTGTATATACATGTGCTATGTCATAACACGTGAATCAGTGTCCTACTCTCCGATACACAGAACAGATTGTTCTATCCTACCAGGAACGCAGACATACTCCCACTACATTTATATACCCCCTCTAGTGGCGAAAATATAAATTTTGAATGTGACTCTTACAAGCGACATTCTGAATATGTAAAGTAGTATAAATAAATGTATTCATAATACCGTAGGCCTCCGGCTTCAAGGTATACTCATTGTAATTACATAACATTTTACAGAGGACAATGTCATTTTACAGTGACTGAAAAAGAACAAGAAAATATGAAAAGAACATGAACTGTCAGACCAAAATAATTGTATTACGTTTTTTTGTGGCGAGAAAAATAAATTTAGAAATATTACGCAAGATTACTGCATTTTGTAATTGTAATAGCGATACAAATATGTAAAGTAGTACATTATTATTCAAACATTAAAGAGGTACAATCCATTACCTAATTAATATATGTTAATTTTTTGCAGGTTGAATACCCCCTCAAATGAACCAGGGTCAGTAGTCTTCAGAGAAATAAAGTGTTGTTGCTTATAAGCATACTGTTTTCTAAAAATATCACATGGAAAACTGTGATAGGAGTTATAGAGGGTTTTATTACTTGTACACCAGCTGACTGAAACTTCCATGAGATATGGTAATGAGGTATTTTTGCAGGAAATATGGTAATGAGGTACAATTCAATGAGATATGGTAATTTGGTATATTTCAGCAAGATGTATACTTCTAGGAGATATGGTAATGAGGTATAATTCCAGGAGATATGGTAATGAAGTACAATTCCATGAGATATGATAATGAGGTACAATTTCATGAGATATGGTAATTAGGTACACTTCAGCAAGATATGGTAATACAGTATACTTCTAGCAGATATAGCAGTAGCAATGAGGTATACTTCAGTGAAATATGGCAATATACTTTCATGAGATATGATAATTAGGTATACTTCCATGAGAGATGACATTTTACAAAGTGCATGGATGGATAAAATACAATGACATAAATTAAAATAAAAAAACGAAGTTTATTCTTAATTACATTATCTTTATACAAAGTACATGCATTAAAATATATACATAATTTTTCAAAACTTGATACAACACATAACATTTTTGAAAAATGGCAGTGGGGATTTATGCATTATTTAGCTAACACTAAAAATATAGTTATATCTTTCCAGGAAAAAATTAATGACTCCACATGTATTGAAGAATCATAAAAAATACTGTTTTTACATAATTTACACTACTCAATTTTTAAAAAGAAATTGAAATAGGGACCAGTGAGGGCGCTCTCATAGAGAGTTACACTTGCTGCTTTTCAATGCAATTCAAACATTCACATACTGTAGAATACTTTATTTTCGCTATTTTCGCTGAAGGGATGATTCTGTGAAAATAAAATATAGCGAATATACTTTTTTTCCTATATTTCACATAATACTCATCCAAAATCAGTGAAAATAAATTCCATACAAAACGCCCCAAAAGCCTTTTCAGCGAAAATTACCGGTAATTCCAGCGAAAATAAAGTATTCCACAGTATTTGAAGACAATTTTTTATCAAAATCAAGCGACTATCAATCAATCAGCACAATGTCTGAGAATGACAAGTTTGAAAAGTCTTTCTGAACCTTGATATGAGTACTATTTTTCCGAAATTACACAAACACAAGATAGTTATAACATTAGGCCCATTTCATGACAGCCAAAAACCTAGCTATATTTTTTAGCCCAATTCAAACAAAGTCAAAAGCTGGCAGTTTCTGCCATGAATTGAACTACATGTACTTGATTGTTATGAAAATAATTAGAGATCAGAGGAATCACTTATAAAACATCCTTGCATAGTTGCATTTTTTTTTAAAATGCTATGAATACAAAGTAAAACAATAAATGCACTATGGCCAGTGTTTTGTAACATACAGTGGTGTAAATGGTTATTGTTTAATAAGGAAGTATCTTTCGTTAGCGATGTAGGTTTCCATATGATCTACTACGAGACAGTGACCTGCAATAATAAAGGGAACACAAATTGAGAAGAAGGAATTATGGGCATTTTGCTTTCATTTGATGTGAATAAAATTGTACACATACCAGTATTGGAAGCAGTCAGGTGGCATGTATTGGGATGAACGAAGAAAGAAAAAGTTGCAAAACCACACTTTTTGAAAGAAAATCAAAGCCAGAAATAAATAAAATTCACCAAACACAGAACACAGAGGAGAGAAGGTGCAAGGAACAACCTCAGCTGACCAATGAGCATGTAATTTCTGTATGCAAACCCCACTCTATGGGTTATGTATCTAGTCAGAGCATTTCGCAAAATGGCTCTTTGTCAAGGTGGCATTCAAATTATGTTTCCCATGATGCATTGGTGAAATCAAAGGGATTGCAGAGCCATACTTTAAGGATAGTGCTATTCAAACATAGCATGCCTGTTTCCAGAAGCTAAACATCTATGAATCTGTCAAACATACAAAGACAAGAATGAAATAAATTTTCACAAAACTAGATTTGCCGCAAGTCTGATAACTACTTTTTTCGTTCAGTCACCCACAGAAATAAACCTGCAATCTCCTGATCACCAGCCCTACTGCCACACATCAGGTCTGTGTTACTGCAATTCAGACATGCGAACACTGTATACTTACGGCTTACTCATCCTACTGCTGGCTGAGCCTTTGATTTTCGGCACTCTCCCTGCAGGTAGTGATGTTATATCGCCTGATGATAAAGATCTATAAATAGAAAAAATAATAATAAAACATTTACAACATAACTCATTATAATGTTAAACTTAAATTAAAAATGAATTAACATTTCTAATATGAACACCAAATTCAAATAATGCAACATCGATATACATCTCTAACAATACTAACCTTCGATGACCCTTACGTTTTGAAGCTGCAGATTTCGTCATCATCATGTACGTAGGCTTTAATCTCTTAAATCCTGACGGACAAACAAATCAAAGTAAGACTTACATAATGCTGCCAAGCAGTGTGTCCTCTTTATAGGATTTATTTTGTAGTAGTGCCCTTTACAGGACTGATTTTGTAGCCCCCCCCCCTCCCAAGTCAAAATAGAATCAGTCAGCTTCAAGAAATAAAAGGAATTTGTATGCGACTGAAAAGACTTGAGACAGAGACAAAAACAGTGTGTATGCCCAAATACCAGAAATAAAACATCATTTTCACCACCATTTTTGACCCAAAATGAACACTACTATAAAATGTTGATAGAATATTTATTCCATTAAAATTTGTATTTGTATACAACAGGGAAAAGATTATTTTAGACTAAATTGGCCAACTTTACCCCCAAAAGACTCGTTTAATTTGGATGAATCAAAATAAAACTTTAAGTGCACTCCATACCATAATACATTGTCTATGTAAGAAATATTTATGATTTTGGTTCTAGCATTTCAGACATATGAATGCACGAAATGAAAGACAAGCCCAAATTGTAAACAGACTTTCAGATGAGAGCTAAAATACTTACCAAATGCAGAAGTGGATTTGTCAGGCCTTGTATTACAGGCATCCTTTTTTTCCCTGTAAACATTATGGTAAATTAAGAAACGTCAGTCAAAATAAAGAAATAAAATTAAGGTGTTTCTCTGATTTTTATTTTTAATAAAACATTTCCTGTGTCATTAGTGCCAATTTGTGATGGCCATCATTCAAATGAGGACACTGAACACATATACCGGTACTCTATATACATGTACTGGCATTGTACATTGTAAAAATGGTCGCAACATTTCATTTCAGTCACTTATTAAACTTAAATTAAACTTCTGAGTTTACGGTACAAGATGGCAACTTACAGCGGGTCCTGAACAAAATGTCACTGACCTGTTACTGATGATTCAACCCTGATTTGTTTTTATTGCATATTATGTGATATTAGTCTTGTGTCGGGTCACTTTGCTCAAGTTATTGGTAAGTTTATGTGGTTATCATTAAATCACAGCTATTGTCACTTTAAAGCGCGGTGGTCGTCGCGCAGCGCGTGTTCGAATTTCATGTAAATAAACAATGTATTTTACACGCGTTATATACGTCGCAATGAGTCCCATATCGAACAGGGCGCGACACGCCCTTTAATACATTTATAGGTGTGACAGGCTGATAATCATCACAAATAATCAGCAAACAAATCTAAAACATGCCAATATGTATGTATACCTCCAATTAAACATTAAAGTCAATGACAATTCTTACTGTTTAGATGGCATTATTTCAACATCCAAGTTGAATGGAACTGGGGAATTGCTGATACATGACAATGGAGTCCGTGGTGAGACCCTCTGTGGAGTGCTTACCACCTGTGCGTAACTCATCTTCTGACCTGATAAGAGTAAGATGCAAAAGATTAACCATTTATTACTTACATTGAATTGACAACATTGTACATTTAAAACTCATGCAAGATGCCGGCTTATCAAACTCACCACATGAAGCCATTATTTTTTTTCATCTTTGTATACCATGGTTTGTCAAAATATTATAATTTTTAATCCATGACAATATGTCATTGGATATCATATTGTGAATTTATCACTATACGACAACAGACATCAATCGTATAAAACATCAGCCGATACCCGTGACAAGTTCACCATGTTTTTACAATGTTGCGGGCATAAAAATACTTGTAGCAAGTGCCTAGTGACCATTTCAAATAACAGGGAATGGAGGGTTGTTAAATTTACAGACATACTAACCTGTACCCACTGGGGATCCACAAGTAAATGTTGTTGACAGGCTATCAGGACTTGTTAAGTCACCACTGGCAACAATATGAGGTGGCACACTAGGTGATAAACTTGGTGATCTTAAAGGACAGACTCCCTCGATAGCAAAGTCAGAGTTCCGTGATAAACTTGGCAGAGATGTGGCAACTGTTGACTGGTTCTTCGAGTTCTGTGTTTTTGTGTACACATTTACCATTGAGAATCTTGTTGATGACGAGGAGTGAACATTAGTGGTATCATTAATTGTATGCACTGCTTTGTTGAACGTGTTTGACCTTTGGAGTCGTGACATAGATGACCTCGTGGCAGTGTTTGTTAAATTGGACGCTTTAGAAGAGCGTGCTGTGTTTGATGTTGAAGGCGTCCCTGAAGAGAATGCATCAACAGATGCAAGTCGTGACATCATGTTGCTGGATGATCGAGAGGATCCCATTGCCAACGAAGTTGCAGAAGCAGATCTACTGGGATAGTTACCTAAAGCCAGTTCAGCTGCTGAAGTACGAGGTAGTTTTGGTGTCAAGCGTTTGGCCACATCGGCATACGAGACTGAATCCAGGTGAACTGGCGGCTGCTTTAATGTAGAGACGCAGGAGCTATCGACTTCATTGTTTTCTTTATTTGGAATGCCAAATCGTTTTGGTGTGTGTGATGCATTTGTTTGTGTAAATATCCTAGATGGCCCCTTGGATGCGCATACATTAGTGCATGCAGAGTTATCTTTTTTCACTACTCTTAATGCAGAAATAGGACTACTAGCAGCTGTATCTGAAAATATCAAAAGCAAAAATATTAAACACTAAATTACAGTGTACCACAATTTACACAAGGTACATGTGTATGTGCATCTTGCATTATTTGGAAATGTGAATTCCTAATATGGACTGATTTGGTGCATTTCCAATATGGCGAGCATATTTAAAATCAAAGAAAGCTTAGAAAGAACTCCCATGTGCTGAGAGTATTGGAGACACATTAAATATAATTCGAAATTACTTAGCTGAAAAGTAATTATGCAAATCAGAAAATTAATATGACCAGATTTGAGTGTAAAACTAATGAGGTCTGCGCAATGTAACAGAAAATCTATGTCTCCAAGTTTAATTGAAATGTGATTAGAACCAAAA